ACCCTGAGTTGTCCGACTACAACCACCTTACCTGATTCTAAAAAAAACACCCAAAAAGGAAAAGGAAGTGAGTCGGTTTAAAATTTTTATGGAAATGTTGAACAAGATACAAATCAAAATTCCGTTTTGTGAAACCTTACAGCAGATGCTTGTTTAATGCTTATGAAAGAGCTCTTATCGGAAAAGTGGAAGTTAAAGCATGATGAAAACATCACTTTAGCAAAAGAGTGTAATGCAATCATCCAGAGGAAGCTTCCACAAAAACTCATTGATCCAGGTAGGTCTACTATTCCCTGTTTCAATTGGTTCACTAATTATCAATCATGCAATATGTGATTTAGGAGCTAACATCAACCTAATGCCTTTATTCATGATGAGAAAGTTGAAGTATGGTGAACCAAAACCAACACATATGACATTGACTCTAGTTGTTCGTTCAATCACGTATCCATATGGAGTGTTTGAAAAATGTCCTTGTTAGAGTTGATGGGTTATTGTTTCTAGCTAACTTTGTAATTCATGAGATACCTGAGGATTCAGAAACACCATTACTATTAGTAACACCGTTCGCTTGGCAACAGGAAAAGCTCTCATGAATGTGGCACTCAGAGAGTTGACACTAAGATTTAATGAAGAAAAAGTTATCTTCAATGTGTTTGAAGCACTGAAGCACCACAAGAAAAATCCTCAGTGCTACCAAGTAAGCATGGTGAAAGGAAAACCGAAAAAGCTTCATGGAACAAAATTAGTATGAGATTTCAGGTAAGATAGAAAGTTATGATTTACAAATCTCGTTGGAAATGAGTGTTAGGTAAGTGGAAAGCTAAGATGTCTGGTCCTTTTATTATGAGTTAAGTTTTTGCTAGTGGCATCATTGAATTAATCGATCTAGGAGAAGCACATACCTTTGTTAGGAAATAAGATAAATCGAAATCCCATGGAGGTGGTGAAAATGCATTTTAGAAGGTATCTTCGATGCTCGCAAAACCTTAGACAATTGATTCAAGCTAGTAACTTTAAACAAGCGCTTAATGGGAGGTAACCCATCAGAGTATGAATTTCAATTTGCAATTTTTAATCAGTTTTTTTTTTCAAAATAATAAAGAAGACTATTGACTAGCTCTCTAGAAATCTCTCCCTTTGGTACTTTTCTTTCCTTGAAATTAATGAACTTGTTTGCTACTATTTGTTCTTTCAATTTTTAATTTGCTACCTTACTAGTGTCATCATGAAAAAGAAAAGAAAGTCAACAGAAAAAGAAAAAAGAGGAAAGATCGGAAACGAGGTTCCCTTGCAGAGTGAAGGTTGATAAAGAAAAGGAAATCCGACTATTTTGTGCTAAATCTCCAGATATCTCAGCTAGTAAGGTTTGAGCCCAAAATTTTCCATTATTTACTTTTCCTTCTTATCAGAGTATTCATACATTAGTCATTTTTTGAAATTTGCACTTTTTCTAATTTTGAGTCAATTGGTTTGATAAATACACACTGAGGAAGTTGTTTGTAAAAACTCTGAGCCTTTTTAAGCCACCCAGTTAATATGATAATATTTGTTGTTTAAACCCTTTGAGCCTAAGACTTTTCTTTCAATGACATAGCCATATTATATAGCCATTAACTTGAAAGATAAATCATTTCCACCCTCTTTGGAGTTAGATAGAAATAATTGTTTTACATGTTGATGCAAAAGAATAAGTTGCAAGTTGCTCTTGGAAGTTAGCAGCGAATAAGTTTGAGGTTGAGGTACTAAAGAAATTAGTCCAAAAAAATAAAAAGAAAAAAATAAGAAGTTAAAATAGCTTTTTCAAAAAAAATGTGAAAAATAAGACCAACGACATGCAATTCACTAGTAAGAAGTGCAATATAAAAGACTAAGATGGAAGGAATTTGATAACATTGGGAAAGCTAGGTACCTAACTCCTAAGGTTTAAACCTAGTATCCTAAAGTATCCTACCCTGACACAAGTCACGTTGCAACCGGAAAAATACCTTCAAAGTGTGTTTTTAAAAATGACTTTGATTTATTCGATTAGAAAATTTTCAAATTTATGGTTAAATGATTTTGTATGATGATTGATCGATTACCCTATCAATTTAAGTGCATAATGGGGAGATGAGAGACGAGTTGAGTATTTGTATGTCAGAAGAACTTTTTTTAAGTTGATTGGATTGAAGTGGGGAGTCGAAGAGTTGATTAGAAAAAAATATAGGTGACAAGAAGTGGTAAGGGTAACCATTTTAATTTTTATGAAATGTTCATTGTGCAGAAAGGTTACTTGAAGACAAGCGTTTAAGTTGGGAGTTGCGATGAAAATTGTCATTACGTGATTTTTAGGAAGAAAATCGGATAAATTCGGAAGAAGAATGATAGAAAATCATGTGAAAGTGTGAAGAATTGGGCAAAAGGCCAATATAAGGAATATACAAGTACTTAGTGAAAATGTGAAGAAAAAGGAGAAAAATGTGTCTTTCGCTACTCGATTTCTCACGTGTGCAATGCTTTCGATCTCGGCGCACACAATGTTGTTTTTTCAGCTGACACACTTTTTTTCTATTAAAAGCATCTTTTGGCCACTTTTTTAGGGGTTCTGAATTCCAAGATTGATAGTGACGAGAAAGGCAGTTTTTGGTGCTTTTGGAGGCCATTGGAGCCATAGTAGATTACTTTCTTCAATTATTTTTCATGTACTATGAATACACTCATGATATATTTATTTTATACTATGAGTAGCTAGATTTCCCCTAGGTTAGGTATTTTTGAATGATGAATCTATTTTTATTTGATTGGGACATATGAATGGATGATGTATATTTTATTGCTTTGACATATTATTACTATTCAATTATTTTTTGTGTTCATTGCCTACTGTATACTATGGCATACAATTTAATCTAGGTATGTAGTGACGTATTGATGATAGTGATGCTTGTTGGAAATAGGATGATTGTTTGGTTCTTTAATTAACTAGGGAAAACCTAATTAGGAATTGTGACTTAGGGATTAACATACTCTAGTGCATAGTCTGACGTTTCAATTGGCCTAAGAAATTTGAGAGTTAACGCTTAAAATAGTGAGTTGCATACTAAGGGACTGGGTGTAGTGGTAGGGTTAATCTGTCGTGTAGCTCTTATGCCTCTGCATGTCTGTTAATGCGTATTTCATCAATAGAATATAAGAAGAGGATTTTAACAAAAATACCTAATTGCCTTAATCATCGTATCTTTTTCGAAGTTAATTTTCTCTTGTTTTCAATTCGCTTTTCTGACCCCCCCCCCCTTTTAATTACTAAATTTGTAACTAATTTTCTTGTTAAAATCTATTCCTAGTGGAGACGAAACTTTTATTATTAATTTGACGTTATCGGTATATTTGTCGAAAGGTTGTTAGTAACCCTTAAACTCAATTTAGTAAAAAGAAAATAAGACTAAAACAAATCCTAAAACATCACCATTTACAATTAAAAAGAAGATTAAAGAGACTCATAAGAAATTATTTAATGAGTGAGTAATGGTGAGGGTCATACTAATAGGTTCATCACACCTGAGTAGATAAATAACTTGTCTTATATAAAGGCACCTACGCCTAAACATATAAATGGTACATTTTTTAGAGCAAGTGTGCAAAGTTAAATTGTATTGTGTAGTGTTATATTTGCGATAGTCTCAAATAAGGGCGACTCTAGGGTCCCCGCCGAAAGTGATATCGCTCAGGCGACTTCCTCACAGGACGTGGAGGGTTTACCCCTGAGACAGATTATGTGTATAGTATTGTTATCCTATGTTAGTCATACCACGACTCCTTGAAAAATAGGTAGGCAACAATCTCCGTTAGTCATGGGGGAGCGATCACTACCCTTAAGGGTTTCTTAAACCCTAAGCCCAAAAGGCCCCCATATATATTTCTCCCCATCGGAAGAGAGAGATCTTAACTTACACACAACACCTAAAGGAACATACTTTTATACAGAGTCTCTCACCTTACGTGAGCAGGTCCTCTAAACCATTGTAAGCACTAAAGTACAGAGTTTCTCGCTGTTATGGGTAAGCCCTAACCTTTACAAATTATTATAAATCTACTAAGACCTCTAAATATCATATTCCCTTACAGAGATACCATGCACACATATACTTTTTTATCAGTACAAATTTTAAAGATGATTGTTGACGAATTGAAGAATCATGTATTTTAAAAATTAAAAAAAATTGCAATAAATATTTGTTGTAGCAATGTTTAATTAATATTATTAAATATTTAACATGTGAAATTGTAAAAAAAAAAAATACATGTGCCAGTGCCACATCAATTTTTATCATATAATAACGAGGACCAAAAATTGTGTACAATAATTCTTAAAGGATCAAACCTATTAAAAAAACTTTGAGAAACTAAAATCAAATTTTAAAATATTTATAAAGATTAAAAATATATTAAAAATAAAATAATATAAGTTATGTCATTAAAATAATATATGTGATTATAGCATGTCATCTTCTTTTAGATCCAATAAATAACGAGGACAAAAACTCATCACAGAAAATAAAATTTAAGATATTTATAAAAAATAAAATTTAAGATATTTACAGAAATCAAAAACTTATTTAACTTTGATTTATTATTTGATAATGTAGTTTGTCCACATTATACAGTAGAAACTCTTTAAATTAATAATGTCAGGACTAGAGAAATTTATTAATTTAAAGAGTTATTAATTTATCGATAAATTAATAATTATTAATTTAAAGAGTTTTTAAATAATTATACTGTACATACCAAACAAAAAGGCAAATTAGTCTATGCCTCTTAGAATTACGTTGCAGCGAACTTTGGGACTCAACGTAAATTAGTAACTATTGTGTTCATATGCATTGGAAATCAATAATGACTTTTGAAGTACAGTAAATGTAAACAAGAGGAACAAATGTGTTCAATGTATTCTTAAGCAAGTTTGCCATATATAAATTACATGACTGTGTTAGAGTATTCAAACCATATCTCACAAA